TGATCCGTGGATTAATTGCAAAATTTAACCATAATAGAGTATAAGTCTATCATTTGTTTGTATTTACACAAGCAAGCGAGTTTTAAACAATTCCAGAGAGAAAAGGCGAAAGGGAACTCGATTCGTTACTCGCGCACACAGCCGCACACACATCTGAAGCGCACACGCGTTTCAGATGGCGCGCGAACACCGAACTGAATCCTCTGAACAGACACATACACATAAAATTATGACAAAATACCCATCTCGACAATCATTCAGTTAAACACAGTCAGTTATGTCTCAAGTGAATGAAAACAGCTGAGAAAGAAATCGGATGTGATGTGTATCATTATATCGGATCCGTGCATCAGGTCTTAAAGGGACAGCGGCATATAAATACTGCTGCTGTCATTAATGATCATCAAACAACAGAACAGCTGTGATAAAAATTATATATTTAATTTATACAGTGAACATTATGCAGTGTTATTTTCCCTAATTATTACATTTCTGTATTTGAATACTACCAACCTTATTTTATTTGAGCCACAAACAAAAAAGGATGGATAACATTAAAGGGCTAGATTTTCGCTGGAGGAAACCGCTGTGGTGTGATGAGGGGTGAATACAGCGAAAACTTTACTGTAGATGGGAAACCGATTGCTCCCTCGTGACCTTTTGTAAACTGTATTTATGACAAATAACTGCACAGATACAGATATTATAACAATCTATCGATAAACACACACCTTGTGTTTCTGTTTGAGTCTGCTCGTGCTGCGCCACCACAGTCTGCGGATTAAAGAGCACGCTGAAAGACGGAGACGAAGTCTGCCGCCGTTTTCATATCAAATTCAAAGGGGACTGACTCTGAGGCGATCACAAATTTGTGTACAGTTTATGGAGCTAATCGCTATAGCCCCGCTAAAAATGGCCTAGCGACGCCCATGCTTCTTACGTCCATTTCAGAGAACCAGGACAAATAGTTCAATCGATCGCTCAGGCATTTAAGTGGCACCGAAATCACAAACAAAAAAGGATGGATAACATTAAAGGGCTAGATTTTCGCTGGAGGAAACCGCTGTGGTGTGATGAGGGGTGAATACAGCGAAAACTTTACTGTAGATGGGAAACCGATTGCTCCCTCGTGACCTTTTGTAAACTGTATTTATGACAAATAACTGCACAGATACAGATATTATAACAATCTATCGATAAACACACACCTTGTGTCCTCTGTTTCTGTTTGAGTCTGCTCGCGCTGCGCCGCCACAGTCTGCGGATTAAAGAGCGCGCTGAAAGACGGAGACGAAGTCTGCCGCCGTTTTCATATCAAATTCAAAGGGGACTGACTCTGAGGCGATCACAAATTTGTGTACAGTTTATGGAGCTAATCGCTATAGCCCCGCTAAAAATGGCCTAGCGACGCCCATGCTTCTTACGTCCATTTCAGAGAACCAGGACAAATAGTTCAATCGATCGCTCAGGCATTTAAGTGGCACCGAAATGAGGCACAGAAATCTGTGTTCTGATTCGGTTTTAGTACATACCGGTTATATAGGTACCAGTGCCAATATTTCGGTACCCAACCCTACATATCATACCAGTGTACTTTGAGGTCAAAATGCGTACCTGTTACACAAAATGTGTACAGGCTGGCAGGTCTGTTGATGGGCAGACATGAGCTGTAAAAAACGCAACTCGCTTACTTGCGACGATGTTAGGGGGCATGTTGAGGAGAACAGTGACATCACGATTTCCCCAATTTTAAATCAGGCCATTTCAGAAGGGTAGAAAAAAATAAATAATTTGAAACTGGGGAGTTAGTTTTGAAGCTTGCAGTATGTTTTTATTGTAGAGTAAACTCTTTTATGTGTGTAAACATTAACATTTTGATTCTCCATTTCATGACCCCTTTAACTACTTTTACAGCTGCCAAATCACATTGCTAATCAATTTTACAACAGAAATCACAGACAAAAAATAAAAGGGGCTATAGGGAACGTGTGTTACCTTAGAGGGAGGGGGTGCTCTCCGTCTCTGTGGTCTGATGTTTCTGGGTTGTGGCGGCTCTGTCGAGGTGACGACAGGCTCACAGTTGGGTTTCAGTGTCGGAGAAGGCCCATCATGTGGGGGAAATGGAGAAGGGTCTCGGGCCTGAGCCGGCAGGTCCGACTGGAGTGCTGCATTTTGATGCTGGGTCAGACGACCGAGGATGGGGGATGGGTCAGGTTGGGCCTTCAGGTCTACTAAAGACAGAAAAAACATATTCCAACATGTGTCAATCTCTGTTAAAGTACCCCTATTGTCATTTTTACGGTTCCTAATATTGTTTTGGGAGTCTCCTACAATAGGATTACATGCATGCAAGGTCAAAAAACGCTTTAGTTTTCTCAAAATATGCATTTAGTATCACCTCATTTTCCAGCCATTCTCAAACGATTCGTTCGAAGCAGTTCAAAGATTCAGTCTCTCTAAACCCCTCCTTTCCGTGAGCCTGCTCTGCTCTGATTGGTCAGATGGCCTAGTCTGTTGTGATTGGTCTACGGCAGGGATCCTCAAATCTGGCCCACAAGATCCACTTTCCTGCTGAGTTTAGCTCTAACCCTAATCAAACCCACCTGAGCATGCTAATCAATGTCTTCATGATCATTAGAAAATCACAGGTAGGTGAGTTTGATCAGGGTTGGAGCTAAACTCTGCAGCGCATTGGCCCTCCAGGGAAAGATCTGAGGAACCATGGTCTACGGAGTACAGCGCGTTTCGGAAACAATACGCCTATTTCAATAGTTCTGTATTTTGAACGCTCTATAGAAAATATAAAC